ACACGAGGTGGAGGGGGAGGTGAGAATACACTGCCTGTGGATATTTGTTGTGCTGGTGTGGGTCGTGGAGTGTATGGGTTGGGGATACACTGTTTGTGGGTGTGTCTCTTCAGGGCATGGTTGCTAGTGTGTGGGTGTGTGTGTGTGTTCAAGGTGTGGTTGCTAGGGTATGTTTGTGTGTGAGGGGGATCTTGAAGTGTGTGGGTGTGTATTGTGAAAGTGTGAGGTGTGTAGTGTATGTTTTGAGGTATACACTGCCTCTTGGTGTGTATCTTGAAGGTGTGAGCCGTGGTGTATGTGTGTGTGTACATTGGGAGATGTACACTGCCTCTTTCTGTGTATTCTTAGTTTCAGTGGTGGAGGTAATACGTGTGGGTGATTCTCTGTGTATATAAGTGTATACAGTATTTAGTTGGTGTATGTATGTATGTATGTGTGTGTGTATAATTGTAGCAGGTGTGAACAGTGTGCTGAATGAGCCATACAGGATTCCTCCCTTGTTTATGCAAATGTAGAGGGTTAGTGGACCGTGTTTCCGCCTCTCTCCCGCCACCTAACCCTTGTGTGTGTGTGTGTGTGTGTGTGTGTGTGTGTGTGTGTGTGTGTGTGTTTTATACACTCTGTGAGCCGTGTCGGGCCGGGGTGAAGGTGTGGCTGTTTACCCCTGGCCCTCCGAGTCAGGCAGTGGAGCACCAGTTATATATACATGTGGAGGAAGAGGTGGAGGAGGGCGGGAAAGAGAGAGGGGATGGGGTGGGGGTTATGGAAGGGGGAAGGAGTGATGAATCGTTGAGGAGGAGGATTAAGAGAAGGTTGAGAGAGGGAAGGGTTGGGTGATGGAGCAGTAAAGAAGGACTCAAAAACGATAAGAGGGAAGGAGGGGAGAGGAAGAGTGATGATTATGAGGGAAGTTTCCGGGAGGTGTTTTCAAGTCTGATGAAAGAGGAAGAAGAAGAAGGGGTGGAGGAGGGTTGATGAATGGTTGGAGGAGGGTGAAAATGAGATAGGGAGCTGAGAGAGAGTGTGTGGTGAGTGATTGGTCGGGTGGTGAAAGTAACTATAAGACTCGCCTGACGAAGACTTAAGTTTATCAGAAAGCAGTTTTATGGCGTGAAACTGTTTCCAGGAGAATCACTGTAGCTAAACATTTAACCCAAACCTGTTCGTGTTTGGTAATCCACACAAGTTTATCGTGGATTTACTATACGTTCCTTGTACTGTACCTACCTGCCACTTTACAGCATACAAAGGTTTTTTAATCGTCTTCCAGGCTTAAGTATTCTTAGTACAGTATATTTATATCGAATGGTCTGTTCAGGATATTTCTTAATATGTATTTTAGTAACTTCGACGTTCATGTCAAGTCTCAAAAGATGTGTGGGAGTTTATTTTTCAAGGTTATTTATTGTTGTTACCGAAACTACAGTCTTCTCTTCCCACGTTTATATGACTGAGTTTTTCGTGTGACGGTCCAACGAGAATTAGTTCCTCATTGCTTCACCAAGCGAACTATTACTGTCACGCGAGTGTTTGAGACGTAGTTCAAAAACAGGTCAAGAATAATGGTGTTGGTGAACTGCTGTCTGGCGTAACATTAAGGAGGGAGGATTATGGATTTTAAGACGAGACTTCCATATAAGAATTGTGTTGGGGGCGTTTTCTAGTTGTTCCTCCCTCTCTCTTTCCCTCACCCTTGTGTTTCTTTTCGCCCTCCACCATGTCTCTGTTTCTCTACCTCCTTCATCCTCTCATCTTACCCATACCATTTGCTTCTTCTCCCAGTCCCTGTGTGTTCAACTGTGCATCTGCTTCACCTCACCAGTGTAACAGAACACATGATCACGTTAATCACCAGTGTGTGTGTGTGAGAGTGAGCAGGGCGTGACTGTCGTGGTGGTGTTGGGCGTTAGGACTTGGTTGGTGTGTACAGGTAGGCATTCCCCTCCCCTCCACACAATTAGCGACAGGTACTCGGGATATGTTGGGTATGTAAGTAACTTGTGCTCACTGTACACCTTCCCTGGCAGACACATGAGATGGCTCCCGAGGGTTGTTTTTTTTTCTTCTTCCAGCCGCCTGACTGAGTTTGAATATAAGGGTGTGAGTATTTTTAAGCCCCCACCCAAACACACACACCGTAGGCATGAGCGGGGACAGGGAGTTCAATCTCTGTCCGCCCGTCAGTCGCCCGTCATTCCCGTCCTACACTGAGGTATTCACTTTGGGTAAATCAACTCCTGCGGTTATCTGTGAAAGATTCTAAGCCTTAACACAAACACTGTATAGGAAGGATAGTAAGTGTACTTGTTGTAAGAAAGGCATTTTTTTTTCAAACTTTTACTGTGTATAATTTAGACTTTTCGTTGAAATATTAGTATGGCATCACTCGGGAGTGAGGGAAAGATACTATTAACTGAAGGAAACAAGTATGATGAATGTAATCGCCTTAACTGACCTTTCCTTGATGATAATGCTGTGTGTGTGTGTAGAGAAGAACACCATGTGAGAGGCAGCTTATATCATGTGGCAGGCTGATCAGTATGCACATTTAAATATTTGGAGTGTGACGTGATGGCATCCACGCTCTCCCGGGTGACCCAGCATGGCTCTCCCCCCTCCCCTGTGCCACGCCGGGTTACTCACTGGAATGATGCGGCCTGACGTCATATCGGGCGGGACTTGCTTTCATCTGCGTGTGTGTGGCAGAGCAGCGCGACCTTCTATGTGTGGTATTATTTGTTACTGTCTCCTGGTGATGGAGACAGTCTTGTGATGTGGACTCGGGAAACTGGCCCTTGTATGGCACCTCTTACTAAAACCTAAATATATATATGTGTGTTGGTTTATATTTTATATAATTTGACACATGTAGTTACACTGACACACAGTTTACCTGACATGTGTCCGTGTGTGTCGCCATGATAACCATTCAGCGCGGCGAAGTTGAGAATAATATTAAAGGTGTTGTGCTGAGAATACCCGTGGCAGTGACTATACCCGTGTGTCGTTAATGAAGACCTCCCCTTATTTAGAGATGTAATATGGTTGGGTAGGGCGTCGGGGCTTGGAATAACGAGAGACGGAGAGACGGAAGGGTGTTTTTCCTGCTCGTTTTCATTCGCTACTTTCAGAGGAATTTGCCGAGTGTGCCAGGAGGTGGAGGAGCACGTGCTACCCTGTTATTCTTGAGCTGTTTGCTTTACGATGAGAGGGAGGGGGACGTTGAGGTAGGTAGCCAAGTGATGTGTTGAAGGGTGGTGGGGAGCGGTGACTGTCTGCCTACAACCTGGCCCTCACACCCTCCCCCCCATCCCCTCCTCCTCCCCCCCCCCGCCCTTTCCGCCTCCCTTTGTCGCTGTCTGCTCGAACTTATTTAACTTATTTTTTGCTTTTCTGTATTTACACATTTATTCGTGTTGCTTACTACTGTTATATTTATTAGTTGCTTAATTGTTTTTTGTCTTTTTGGGGTATTTATGTTTTTAGTCGTAAAATTATTATTCGCGTTGTGTTAGTCGAGTTATTGATGTTATGAACCAAGTAATGTTTCAAGTCTTCCTGTGTGTTTGCAGTTCAGCTCCTTTCAAAGGTTTCCCTCCCCCTTCCTTGCATTCCCAGCCCGAGTTTTCCTTTCATCGCATGATTATACTCTCGTCTTTCTCCCCTCCCCCCTCTCTTTCTCTCCCCTCTCTCTTTTTCTCCCTCTCACTCATCGCCATTCCTTCAGATTTCTCATGTTGGTTTTTATTGGCACTGATTTTTTTGTATTTATATTTCTCATTGTTAAGTTTTTGCGGTTTATTTTTCTTTTTTCGTTTTTTTTTTACATTTATTTTTTCATGTTTGTTTATTGTCAAATTTGCTTTAGTTTTCTCATACTTCTTTTCTTGACAACAACACCAGACTGTACTGAAAAATACAGAGGAGGTATAATATTTGTGCAAACCAAAACTGAATTCACGGTGGGGAAGACTGTCTCGAGGGTGGGGTGAATAACATGCCAAGCAACAGAGTCGTCACTGTAAATTAAGGTGAACAGTAAACACGTGTCATTTACCCTGACTGTCCTAAATATTTGTCTCTCTATTCTTCCATTATTTTTTTTTACTTTTGTCTGTTTATTGTTATCTCTCATCATCCTTTCCGTATGTCGTCTGCCTTGTCATTTTCTCCTTATGATGTTTTATTCATGATGAGTGAAGTTGCGTGTGGTGAGGAGATGGGTGGGTCACCGGTGTTGGCTGGGGGTGTGGGTGGTGGTTGGGGCTGGGGGTGTGGGTGGTGTTGGGGGCTGGGGTGTTGGTTGGGGGCTGGGGTGTGGGTGGTGGTGGCTGGGGGTGGGTGGTGGAGGCTGGGGTGTGGGTGGTGGTTGGGGGCTGGGGTGTGGGTGGGTGGTTGGGGGCTGGGGGTGTGGGTGGTGGTTGGGGGCTGGGGGTGTGGGTGGTGGTTGGGGGCTGGGGGCAGGTATGTGGAGTTCACACACTCACCCTCACAGCCCCGCTCACGCTGCCAGTCAAGAGTGTCCTAGGCTAGCAGCTCATTCGCCCCGCTCTTCTGCTGCTTGTTACATCTTGCTTATTACCTTCAGGAGTCCTTCAAGAGGAAGTTCCTGTCGTCAGTAGAGCAAGTGCCAGGACGAGTCGACAACCAGCACTTCTTTACTCTTGTGTCATAACCTTCGAGCGTAACTGGTGTGAAGATAATGGTGATAAGCACTAGCATTTTTCTCTCTCGTGGTGAACAAGTCTACCGAGGCTCCATTACTATTGTGAAGGTCAGGAAAATACTCCCTGGTGGATGAAAAATAAGTAATTGAATAAGCTGGAGTTCCATCCGAGGTATTATCGCTTTTCACACCAAAGAGGGAACTATGATTGGTGAACTAGATATAGTGAAAGTGAACTAAATGCGATTAACTTTTATTGTTTTATCAAGAACAGCGGTGTTGTGTGATGTGCCGTAATAACAGCAGTGTAGACAAAGCAGCAGTAAAGATTGTTAGCGAGTAAAGCAGGGCGGGCCCGGCTCACCACTACCGACTCTAGGTGCTTACCAGATGTGGTGGTGGGGTTGCCAGTTGTCCATAAGTAGTCGTCAATGTGAGTGGGTGCGCGTCGGACGCTGGTCCCAGGCCGGTCACAAGGGATATCGAAACGCTCACTGCTAGTTCAAGTCTGACTAGTTTCAGCTTGAATTATATGCTATAGAAGCAAAATGGTGAGCGGCACTACTGAAATTTTAACGTGACTCAAGTGATACGATTTAAATCCCAGTTTAAAGAGCATGTCATGGTGGCGACTACATCTTGGGTCCCAGGGGCAGTTTTCCCAAGACGGTATTGTTTGTACTCTTCGCAGGTGTGTTGTGGTACTAGTGGAGTGCTTTGGTATATAGTCTGGGCTACTAGTTTTAGCGAGAGATAAAAGGTGATGATGAAGGCAGGACGCGGTGAACCCAGGGTTGGCAGAAAGTCAAGGTCAGAGATTTTCCTGTGCACTTTTTGTTAGTGGTGTCGGGGATGCCGGTGTTGCGGGCCCGGAGTTCTCGGGTGGAGGGTGGGCGGTGTTACCCTCGGGTGTGCTGGGCGGCCGTCAACCGCTCCACCCACTGGGGGGGGTACACCCATAGGACCCCCTCACCCGATGGGTCCTCCCAGTCGCTGCACCTGTGTGCCAGAGCCACCTCTTGCAACAGTTGGCCAGTGTACACCTTGGCACGGAAGGGTAGCCAGGGACAGGGGTCGCCGCCCACACCAAGTGTCGCGCCCACATCCGCCGTCCTCCACCACGGACCTGTTGTCCAAAACCACACACAGCTGATCAGTTGTGATAAAAATTATTATCCGGAGTTAACACAAATATCCTCAGAGAACATGACTAGAGGAGACGGCACGTGTTATCTTGAGTCACGTGAGTCTGACCAACACTCATCGGGACATCATATCATGTTATACAATTCGTTATATTCAGGGATGGTCAGTGGCGACCACAGCAGCAGTGATACCAGTAGTGGCAGTGACATCAGTAGTGGTAGTGACACACTCAGTTCCAGTGACACCCTCAGTGCCAGTGAAACAATTAGCGCTAATGAAACTTTGAGCGCCTGTAGTGCCAGTTACAGCGGCAGTGAGGACGGCAGTTATACAGAACATTGTGCGAAATTAACAGGCGACGGCTGTTGTAATTTGGTGTCTTGTGTTAGTGTTACGTCAGGAGCCAATAATATAAGAAATGCCCACATCGTACCTACGGTAGAGGCGGTTGGTCAGCGACACAAGGCCTCCCCGTGTGGTGACGCTCCAAGCTGGACGCCAACAACACCAGAGTTGAATGGAACAAGTTGTAAACATTTAGCGACCAGGCAGGGTCACCGCCGCCACAGGCCCAGTTTGGGGATGGAGCAGACTCTCAGTAATGGGCTGCAGCACCCTTGTGTTCGTCGTGAAAACGGAAGTAATACATTTCCACGAAAGAATGCGTGTAAACATACTAAATCAAGCACTGAGGGAAGTGGAGTAGCTGACAGACAGGTACCGCAAGTATTGAGGCAAACTACCTTTACAATAGCCCGAGGATACACCACTTTTACTCTCCCCGACGACCACACTCCAGGTACCGAGGACGTTGCTACCTACCGCAAGAAGCACCCGTATCAGCACCTTCCTTCCACCCTGCCTGATGCTTCAGTAATCCCACACAGACGCACGGCGCGCTTGGTACCTGACAGTGGTATGGGTCGGAAGGTTGTTGCCAAAGTACCTGATGCTGCTGCTGCTACAACTCCCACTGTCAGCCGCCGCACCGCCCTGCCCACCCCTCCTCCGATCTCCACTGTGTCCCCTTCCCTCGGGAACAAGCAAGCCCTCATGTCCACTTACCCCTTATACCGACGAAGAACAAGCAGCGGGGTAAAGCGTGAGGGTAGTGTGGGGAGGGAGGAAGACAAGGGTGGTGTGGGTGGGCGGAGGTGCTCGGGGCCTGGCGGCTGGCTGTACCTGCCTGTTAACAAGGTTTGTCCTCAGGGTCCACCCACTATCCGGCTGCCCCAAGCTCTTAACGCTCTAACATAAAACAAGACATTCATTTACTCTTACTTAGTTGCTAGATATAACTTAGACTATTAAGATGGACAGCCTTAGGACTAGTAGTAACATTCATTCGTGGCGTTAATAATTAGATTCCCACATATAATTTAAAATCTCGCCCGGCTGAACAGACTAGTAAGCTCACCTTTTTAAAACCAATGTTAACAGCATTATTTATCAATAGTGCTGTAGTATCATGATGTATGGATAGTGCGTAATAATGTACCTTCCTCCTCCTGCAGACGGGGGAGGAAGTCTTTTCTCTATATTGATCCGTTACACTTGTCCTCATTTCTTGTCCTAATACATTGTTTTTTTAATTACTCTCTGCAGTCTACATGTCTTTAATTCTTCGTGTGTCATTCTATCAGGGTTTGTTCCGGTTTTAAAATAATGGCATTACCGTGTACGCCGTTATTCGCTCTTACCCTAAACACGTGTTCCCCATTTATCTCATCCCTTTTACAAGAGGTTGCAACGCGTCATATTGCCGGTCACGACTTGTGCATCGACACTCACGTAGGGCAGAGTTGTTTAGGCATTTACAAGTACCTGTATTCATATCACCCCATCCTGTTTTCATTGGCACAAATTATACCTATAAATCTGGCATTAATTAATTGTATTAATGGGATTTATATATTATATATTTACAATAGTGTTATTTATTACTTAAAAGATCATTAATTAAATTAAAATAAAACGTCTCAAAAAATTGTCTGAGGCGGACCAGCTGCAACTAATCACAACGTGTAGCTGTTGCGGCAGTGCTCAGGAGTACGGTATCTTCTTATCACTGATACTGTGGTGAGAAGTGATAAAAGCTAATAAGGAACGGTCACAAATGAAACTGGTCTGCGCGATCATGGAATCTGGGCTGGCTACAGTACAAATTCTGGTTAACCTCAAGATTACCCACGCTCCAGCTTATTCCACCTGATTAAACGCCATGACTCTACTGTGGGGTTTGTCTCAAGGTGAAATAAGCTGAGAGGGACTTATTTTCAGGTGATACGAAATTCTGTTTTGTTGTCAACAGGAGCCAACCGAATCCGACTACTTTTTTTTTAAGTTAGATTCGATTGTTTTCTGTTGTATGTTGTCATACATTACTTACATCGTTTCTACCTTTCCAGGATTTTAAAACTGAGATGATTTCATGACTCCGTGTAACAGAGTTTTGGTATAACCTTCCTAGGCAGTAACTTCACAGCACAAAAATCTCCCCTAGCGCAGAGCTATGAGTGGCCTGTTGTCTCCAAATTTTAATCAGTTTCTCCTTTTAGTCAGCACTCAGTCGATGTGCAAATTCTTATCAAAATTCAACCCTTTTTTTTTCTTCTACTTACACAAACTTGCACAGAAAGAGAAAATCAGCACCTGTCTTTGTTGGTGAATTGGATGATTAATGCCCAAGTTTCAGAAAGGCCTATCGTCTCTTTTGTGATGCATTGCCAGGGGTCATTGTTCTCGTGACCTTGACCAGTGTTAGTAACCCTCCTATTTGTTAAATTTCATCAAAATTGGCCCTTCTCGTATCTTGGTTGTTTTGTTTACATTCTTACGGACGCATTATTCGATCACTGATAATATGAAAACGATAACCTTGTTTGGTAACTGCTGTTAAGTGGTCTCGGGCACCTCCCCCCTCTCTATCTCTCCATTCCTCCGTTTGATCAAATTCGGTTCACCTATTAAGGTTTTGTCTTAAGATCGGGGTTATTGACCTTTGATCTACCGTTTCCAAAATTACTTTGTATTTTTATTGGTCCACAGCCAGACGAGTGCACAGTTTCATAATAATCGATACTGTTAGTTCAGTAGCCACAATGTACTGTTAAATCAGCATGTTCCTCCTTGGCCAGCTCCCCAACCCATCTGCCAAGTTTCAGCTAAATAGGTCTGTCCTCTTTATAACGACCGTAAAACTAAGTACACTTCTTATGGCGTTGTCCATCTGTTTGTGTTTGTCTTTTTAAACTTTTATTTATTTTTTTAATTTCAGAGATGTTGCGGATGATTGCCTGGTTTATATTTAATGTTTCACCTGTGATATATTCTTAAACTAGTTAGGGGTCAAGGTCTAAGCGGGGATGCACCCATGACGTAGGCACTCTTTCTGATATTTTGTGGTAATATTTCTTGTCAGTTATATTAGCAGAGGTTGTTGACTCCCCGTCAACATCCTGTGATGCTGTTAATAATGAGTAAGTGAACGCATAAACTTGATACGAAATTTGGTACAAGTTTATGCATGTACTCATCCGTCTCCTGCACGGCCTTACCCATCTCCTGCACGGCCTTACCCATCTCCTGCACGGCCTTACCCGTCTCATGCACAGTCCTCACCCGTCTCATGCACAGTCCTCACCCGTCTCATGCACAGTCCTCCACCCGTCTCCTGCACAGTCCTCACCCGTCTCCTGGTCTCCTTCCTCACCGTCTCCTGCACAGTCCTCACCGTCTCCTGCACAGTCTCACCACAGTCCTGTCTCCTGCACAGTCCTCACCCGTCTCCTGTCACAGTCCTCACCCGTCTCCTGCACAGTCCTCACCCGTCTCCTGCACAGTCCTCACCCGTCTCCTGCAGTCCTCACCCTGTCCCTGCTCCTGCACAGTCCTCACTCTCCTGCAGTCCTCACCCGTCCCTCACAGTCCTCCACCCGTCTCATGCACAGTCCTCACCCGTCTCATGCACAGTCCTCACCCGTCTCATGCACAGTCCTGTCTCACCTGCACAGTCCTCACCTGTCTCGTCACAGTCTCCACCTCACCGTCTCCCGCACAGTCCTCACCTGTCTCCCCCTCACCCGTCACCTCACCCGTCTCCCACCCTCCACCGTCTCCCATCCTCACCCGTCTCCGCACAGTCCTCACCGTCTCCAGTCCACCCGTCTCCCAGTCCTCACCCGTCTCCCTCCTCACCGTCTCCGCACAGTCCTCACCGTCTCCCATCCTCACCCGTCTCCGCACAGTCCTCACCGTCTCCAGTCTCACCCGTCTCCCCAGTCCTCACCCGTCTCCCGCACAGTCCTCACCCGTCTCCCGCACAGTCCTCACCCGTCTCCCGCACAGTCCTCACCCGTCTCCCGCACAGTCCTCACCCGTCTCCCGCACAGTCCTCACCCGTCTCATGCACAGTCCTCACCCGTCTCATGCACAGTCCTCACCCGTCTCATGCACAGTCCTCATCCGTCTCATGCACAGTCCTCACCCGTCTCATGCACAGTCCTCAAGTGTCTCGTGCCCGTGCTATCTTGACCTTAATGGCTGTTTTGGCACTCTGCGGCCTTAAGCTACTTAGTCACGTCCAGATTTACTTCAATCCTCGCACTCACTGTTTATAAGTATGCTGATTAATTGATAAACATGAGGAACAAACTTTGACATGAATTTCTCTTTTATCCCTAGTTGCTATTTAAATGTGACAGGCTTGTAACATGTTAACCAGGTAATCTAGCCAGTAAAACCTTACTTGCCAACTTGTACACCTTTACAAGATTAGATTATTCAGGAATTTTGTCGTTGTCGTGACTCACCTGTACCAGTGTTTAGGGACGTGTCAGAGTTTTTCGTTCTTTTCCTCTTGAACTGCGCCTTCCGTCAGTCACTGGTACTCTGTATGCATTATACCACTAATACGGGGTACATTGAATTAGCTTCCTGCGATGTTTTGAGCTGATAATAAGTTGTATATAGTTGTGAGGAAAGGGGGGGAGGTAGTTTAAAAAGTATGGATTACGTGATCTTATTGTTGTGTTCCGTATATGAAGTGGGCGGTGATAAGGAAAACAATGGTGAGTGGGGCGCCGCCGCCGCCGCTCTGTAACTGTCCATCTGTGTTGTTTCCTAGTGTTTGTATCCTCTTCTCCCTTGACTGTTTCGTTAGTGACCTCCTCCTCATAATGGGTTCGATTTACTAGCCGCCTTCTCATCGGTAGTGTTCAGTGGGCGTTTAGTTAGTGACTGTGTTCTCGTTTATTTGTGCCAAATCATGATCCTGCTTGATAACAACTGCATTGACCATTTGCCTTCTTCATTTTCTATGCGTAATTTTCCTTGGCGTTGCTTCAACCCTCCGTGTGCAGCATCCACCCACTGGCGCGTCCTACTTCTTAGCTTTTCATTAGTATGACTTGAATACTGTACTTTGCTGCCTTTGTACCTGAACTAATATTTACTCGTAAAGAGAAAGAGGAGGAGGAGGGGTTGGGAGATGGGGGAGGAGGTTGGTGAAGAAAGACAGCCTCCAGAGCCTTTACTTAGTGAGGATGAGGTGAGTTGGTAATGACACCCATGAGCCTGAACGAGATAAGGAGGGCAGTGAGGATTTTAAATAGCTATAAATATAATTTTGGGGTTATAAATAAAGGTTAAGGGATATGAGCCAGTGTTAGTGTTGCTGGTGTGGATAATGGACCTTTTTTAAGTCAGATCGAAAGTTATTCATTTTATGTGGGTGTAAAGCATAACAAATGGGTCAGCGACCTTAAAATAGTGAAGTGTGTGTGTAAAGGTTTATAAGGTGGGATTACAGGATCATGTATAGTATACAGTATGATCTTCATTGTGATAATATACACCAAGGGTATCATTAATTATATAAATATATATAAAGTCATCATGTGTGATTTTGATATTATCTCAAAGGCACTTGACCTTTATATACTGTACACCGTACAGTATACTGAAAATGGGGTTTGTGATTGTCCATAATGGTAAATAAATAAGCGTAAGCAGGGGCGGATCCAGGAATATCAAAAAGGAGGTGTCCAAGAAGTTGTGGTGGGGGAACATGGCGAGCACATCCAGCTTGGGGGGTGTAAGCCCCTAGATTTATTTATTTATTTTTTAAATCGGACCAATATCATGGGGTTTTTGAGGACATAATGAATCCATGTGCTCTTGATATTAAGATATATTCTGAGGTCAATAGTAATTTGTTTTTACTATACAAAAACGCCTGAGTACAATACTGCGACATAAGTGTCTTCAATGATTTACCAGTGTGCTTTTAGGTTTACATTTTGTGTGTGTGTTGGTGGGGGGGTTATGGGCAATAAGTTTTTGGTAACTGCTAGTGAGAACGAGCGTGCACTGAAGCTTACTGTGTGTAGTATTTACAGACATAATGACTGTTTAGCCCCCATCAGCTGAGTTTTTATAGGCGTATTATATATCACATTTATATTTTCATTATTATTGAATCATATACTGTAAACAACATTCCATATCTTGGGTTGGGCTCTTCCGTCCATGTAATATAATCTTTAGACAACGAAACAGTCAGATGTTCAACTGCTTGGAGCAGGGTTGAGTTATGGCTGAATCAGACGTGTCATGTACAGTACAATATTTATTCATGATTTTTTTTAGTTTAGTTATTATTCAGTTACTAAAAAATTTCTCGACAGCTCTGTTATCAAGTTGAGGATCATGTAGGTAAAGGGAAAGGGAATTTACTTTGTTTTAAGGAATATTTCTCTGTATTGTTATTGGGACAATTTATAACACAAAATAACATTCATCAGTAATGAACCAATCATATATGATCCACAAAATGACGCCAGATATTGCCAAGTACAGTACAGTATTGAGAGAATTTTGGTCGCAACTACTGTAAACATAGTCATTGTTTTAGTAAATCTTGAGCAACTACAGCTGCCTTACTAAGGAATTAACTGAACAGGATATAAGGTGTACAAAGGCGGGAAATTATTATACTTCATGGTCATAATTGCATCTATGCATTACAGTATACAGTATTACATTTTCATATACAGTACAGTACATAGCATTCACGATGACAAGTAGATAAGATGAGAACATTAAAATACAGTGTTAAAAGTGTTAGGACATTGATTATGTCTAATGATGTAGGAAAGCTCTGATTATTATACCTGCTTGTAAACATGTGATGACCTCAATGCAATAGGACCCATTAGGGTAGTACTGTACTGCATTAACCACTTGTGTATGGGATCTTCTCTGTGCTGAATAAAATCGTCTGGCATTAGCCGAATAAAATATTAAAACTTTTTACAAGTGGCATCCCCAGAGTGTAGGTGTTAAAATTTATGGGAGTAATAGCATAACGTCAAGATCTTTGGAGAGGAAATTTTAATTATGATAATGGAAATACAAAGTGGTACAGAATAACTTTTGTATTAATACTGTATTGTACACACTGTACTGCATTTTTGCTTTTTGACCTTTTTACACAATGATACTACTGTACTGGAGTTTATCTCCACATCCATACAGTACTGATTTATTTACATTGCACTATTTCACTTCAGCCATTCTTAGGAAGTTCATGCTCTTTGGAGTGCTTGTATTTATATTTTATTTGTTTCACAGGGGCAACGTGGGAGTGGCAGCAGTAAGCGAGGTGTTCCTTTTGCCCGTGGCAACAATAGCAACAAAGAGCATGATCACATTGTGCACAGTGAGCAAAAGAAAGACCACCAATCACAACCTCAGTCAGAGCAACATCGCGGGCGTGCCATGAAGATCTCAATCCGTGAGGAAGCCACCAAGAAGACTGCCATACTCACCACCCCTGTCACCAGGTGAGATACTCTACTGTAGTGTTACCTGGCCACACAAACTTTTATATACAGGTGTATTAAATGATTCCCGGTGCATTTACCGGGTATAAACAAAGGCTACTGTATTGTATTCAAACATTTATATAGACCCTAAAGAACAATATGGCAGGTACACAAAATAGACATCTACATTATATACTACTGTAGTTACAGTAATTGGCAAAATGTACAATGAAATGGGATCCTTACATATACTGGATGCAATGACAAAATTTCCTTATTGTTAGATTGCATCATTGACTCAACTGAAAATTAGACACTCCACCTTAAGATTAATCACTATCATGATGGCGGGGGTCAGGTCAGGCTAGGTTAGATTAACATTAATGGGTGGTTAATATTTTGTGGAACCAGGTGGGGGTGTCTAATTTTTGGAGGATCCACTAAATTTGCTTCTAGTGGATGCTACCAATCTGAGTTAAACTTTCAATTAATTTTGCTATTGAGTTGGGTATGCACAGCCTATTTACAAACACAGCAATAGTATTTATTAAAGTTGGATTAAGTACGTACAGGGTACTGTGTTGTCCATGATCCAACCTCTGCATACTGTACATTTAATGGAAACTTTAAATCAAGTTGATTATTGTTTTAAAAACTATTTGCTGTAAACGGTATTTATAGGCAGTAAAATATCAAGTAAACAATGCCTTTTTTATCAGCTATCATTTATGATGGTGAAATTGAGGTCCCTCAAAATTTTGGAGTCAGTACTCGTCAAAGACAACCAGTTAAGTCTACTTTTAGCTGTTGTGGTGTGTAGTTAATTTTTGGTGAATTTCACCCTTGAGTAGGTAGGACCACACATCATTACATAAGCTGATCATTGGACACAGGACCATTACAACACAGGTCTACTTATGTATATACTGTACTCGGTACCTAACATGATATCAACATTTGTAAATGTAGCTTTCAAATTATTATCATATATCAAATTATACATGAATTGCTCTATACTGCAACTCTCCTATTTATCATCTCGAAGCAGTTGAACCGCTACATGGAAATGGCTCAATTCTGTAGCAGTTCAACTGAACCAGATATTACTCTGCAGTCAGTTGGCAACAAATCAGTCACAGGAAGGAACTCTCAGTTCACAACTTTACTTTAAGAGTCCCATTTAATATTAGACATCAAGTGGATTCAACTTCGTATTGTTGCACCAAATTTGTATCTTTTACCAATATATTCTGACATACAAGAAACCTGTCCATCATACTTTTTCATTTCATCAAATTGATTCCTCTGTGACTGTATAAAAATTTCAAGAGATTTCAACTAAATGTTGGTATAGTAGTGTTAAGATCCATCTCCTCTTGCAATTGTTTGTTGGTGTAACAGAATCTTCCCTTATGCCAGAAAACCGTAAAAGTGCCTGTTTTGAGCTTACACTTGGTGTTAAAAAGAACAGTCACAGTGCTGCAGACACGTCCTTTACAGTCACAGACAAAAGTTTGCTCCCCGCAGTGAAACTGAATAACGCGAATGAGTCTCTGAACTGACTTACCCTGACTGTTGTATCTCGTTTGGGGTTGATGCTGCTTTATTTTGGAAGGGAGTAAACTTTTGACCCCGACTGTACATCATTGCCAATACTATAAAGCAATTTTGCCATACCCACCAATGTTTTTGTTGCATCTGTATGATCTGACAAGTGAGGCATTTTATTTAAAACAGTCTGTTTGGGAAAGCTTAGCTTTGAGCATGTCATAGTGAGCAGCTGAAATTGTGGAAAAATGCTACAGCTGTTCCATAAAATCAAAGAATGCTATTGCTGTGTTACAATAGCATCCTGCCTATCTAGATTTAAAGAATTTCCACGAGGCACATAGCTATACTGTACTGTATTACTAATGGATTATTCCACATATTATAAATTGAAATCCATTAGACTTTACATTCATGTTAGACACAATGTCATAAGATTGTCTGCAACAGTTAGAATTGCTCGTACAGTACAGCTCCTCCCTGACTTACGACCTACTCGATTTACGACTTGCTCGACTTACGACCTACTCGACTTTCAACCACTCGCACTTTCGACGTGCCTCAGTCGTACCAAAATTTTTTCAAATTACGTATTTTCGAGTCTCAACGTCAGTACACAAGAGAAAATTTTCGTTTGTAATTCACTCTAAAATGGCTGGCAAGCTTAAAAGTGAGAGTTTTGTGGTGCTGAGAAGAAAAAGAGACACCCATTTTAGATTTGCCATGCATTATTTAGGCATTTTCGACTTACGACCATTTCGACTTACGACTTGGATTTGGGTCCCTAACCCCGTAATAAGTCGGGGAGGAGCTGTATTTTGAGTCCCAACGTCAGAACACAGACAAAATTTTTGTGTGTAATTCACTTTAAAATGGCTGGCAAGCTTAAAAGTGAGAGTTTTGTGGTACTGAGAAGAAAAAGAGACACCCATTTTAGATTTTCTATGCATTATCTAAGCATTTTCGACTTATGACCATTTCGACTTACGATCTGGATTTGGGGCCCTAACCCCGTCGTAAGTCGGGGAAGAGCAGTTTTTCTTCAGAAATTACAGAAGAGAATCATTTACCGTATATACTCGTCTATAACCCCTCCCTCGTTTATAGGTCGACCCTGATTTTTTGACCAAGAAATCGTTAACTTATGATATTCCTCGTTTATAGTTCGACCCATGTTTTTGAGGGTAATGGAACAACAAAACCTTCACTAAAAACGCTCTACGTCCTATAAACTGAGGCTCGCCGTGCATGAAACACGAGTGCCGAAGGCAAATTGTTTACCATTTATTATTACGACACTTTACACTGAAACGCGGGTAGTTTAAAAAAAAATATTGTATATTTCCATTCAAGTATTTATTCAAGTCAATTAGGAGGGAATATTATTGCATTACAACAGTTTTTTAACTAAACTATTCGAAAAGCGATTACAGTAACATCTTTTGAACGAAAGAAAGCGAATGTCATTGCTTTCGTCACGATTTTATCCCACTTTCCATGGTAATACTCATGTAATTTCAGCAAAAATATTACATTTCCGTGAATGTATTACAGTATATCAAGCACAGTATGAATAGAATATCATTGTAATATAACAGAATTTTAACCGAAAACTATTAAAAAAACGAGTAACATCTCAAGAACAGAAGCTTAGGTAAAGTCTTTTGTTTTTTTCATGTATTTTATCCTATTTTACATTGAAATACATCACGTTTCAGCAAAACTACTATTTATTTCCGAGAATATATTCATTCAGGCGCAGTTTAGGAAAAATATACGTGTGATGTAATAGTTTTTTAACTGAAAACGATTCGAAAAACACGTACCCTGTAGCCCTGTTCAAGGAGAGGACTGGGAGAAGCTGTTTGGTGCTGCAGACGATGACAAGGAAAATGATTTTGATGGATTTTAATGAAAATATTCAGAAATATGGTATCGTAGTATTTATTCAAGTCAATTAGGATAGAATATTATCGTAATACAACAGTTTTTTAACTGAAAACCATTCGAAAAGCGATTACGGTAACATCTTTTGAATGAAAGAAAGCGAAAGTCATTGCTTTCGTCACGATTTTATCCCACTTTCCACTGTAATACATACGTCATTTCAGCAAAAATATTACATTTCCTTGAATGCATTATATCAAGCACAGTATGAATAGAATACCATTGTAATATAACAGTATTTTAACCAAAAACTATTTAAAAAACGAGTAACTTCACTTGAACATCGGAAGGTTAGGTAAAATCTTTTGTTTTCGTCATGTATTTTATCCTATTTTACATTAAAATACATCACGTTTCAGCAAAACCACTATTTATTTCCGAGAATATATTCATTCAGGCGCAGTTTAGGTAAAATATACGTGTGATGTAACAGTTTTTTAACTGAAAACGATTCGAAAAACACGTGTACCGTCTAGCTGATACAGCTGGTGGTGCGTGATGCGTCATGCGTCGTTGAACTAGATTTCCGGGTATTATATTAAGTGTGAAATATTGAAAAGGTTTTTAATACCGGTATTTTTTGTAGATCAATGAGAACTGTGATACCGTATATGATATGATAAGTTAGCCTGTGCTAAAAACTTCAACATAGACTACTGAAAGCACGTTGTAAGGTAATTTAGCCTATTGTAAGTTGGTGAGCTTCATTTACTGAAGGAACTGCACAACTTTTCATTACTAATTGGTACATATTTTTCATTACTAATTGGTACATATTTTACGTTTCCATTGTTTACTGGCAGTAAATGGTAAATATTTTTCATGTCTGAAGCTAAAAGTTGCTCCTCACCCTTCCCATCATGCACGGGTTCAACCTAACAAAACTATTACGCATGTATAGGACGACCCCCAATTTTTTGCCTAAAAATTTGGTCTTAAAAACTCGAACTATACACGAGTATATACGGTATTCACTGTCTCACAGTTTTCCATAATTGTAAGAGATCAAATTCTTATATTTCCACACCATTTACTCTGAGGTTCCCAAGCCCTCATATAATGCCATAACTTGTAACTGGGACACTCTTCGACTTCCAACATTCTTCTTGCACACTGTACACCTCATATGGTACCCTTTCAAATGCTTTCTCTAAGTCAACAAATACAAAGTACAGATTTTTCTATAACCTAGATACAGTATATCCTACTTATGTTGTAGTTGTCTGGCTATAAATAGTTCCTCTGCTGCTTCCCTGCCTGGCATTAACCTAAACTGCATTTCTTTAATGTCCATTCATTCCCATATCAATTTTTCAATAATTCTTTCCATAACCTTCTTAACATATCATAGAGCTTCGGGCACCCTCTTTCCATGTTAAATTAGTCACCTCACCTTGTAAGTACATTACTGTATTCACAATCACCCTCTTCAGCCAGTCCTCTTGAACAATACATTTCATCATAATTGCAATTGTCATCTCAGTCATTATCATCACTCAAACATTACCCGAGACTTAAAATTT